TTAGACATGAAGAGAGCAATGCAACACCATGGGATCTACCTTTTACAACCCCTTCATTTCTGAAATTTCCCATAATGATGATGGAAATGCCTTGGTTGCACCCAAGGAAAAGGAGCTGAAGACATACGTTAGAAGAATGAAGTTGGGCAAATCTTGTGTTCAGTTATTATTATGACTGTACAATTTCTGGCCTTTTTATTTTTTTTCTGTTTATTTGGACTTTCATACTATAGAGTTCTCATTCTGCATTTATATACATAATGCTAAAAAAGTATATTACACTTTTCAATTTTAAATACCACTTTAAATTATAAATAAATTGATACACACATCCATCTTTTAAAAGGACTAAATAGCATACATGCATACAGTCATATGTGTGTTCATGCGTGTGTAGGGTGGTTTCCTGCTTTTCCCTGAACAACTCTCCCAGATGCTCCCAAGGTAAGGAGCTTCAGCCAAGGGCCGATGCGAGTCTCTCGCTTCTGCGCCCATTCCCACACTTGCTCTCACTCTCAACAACTATGCTTTTGTCCCAATTGCCAATATGGCAGCTATTAGGGTTCTATTATTGGTTGCAGCCTGTAGAAGGTAGTTTGTATCTCTCCCAACTGGATGTCAATAAGGGTTTCCTTCATGGATACCTAGAAGAGGAAGCAATATGAGACGCCCACCTTTGTGACGTTCTCCTGAGGCCTCCCAGAATGTTTATTGGCTGAAAGAGGCTCTTGATGGCCATAGGCAATCACTGCGAGCGCAGTTTGATTGATTTTGTAAAGCTGTGATTGCTATTAGATTCTACAGGAGCAGTTCTGATTATTCCCTCTTTGTGAGGAGGAGACCTCAGGGTACTATCCTCCTTCTTATTTAGTTGATGTACTGTTGTGGCATGGGATGAAATTGGCAATATATCCTCCCTTAAGACCCATCTTCACCGAGAATTTAACAAGAAGGACCTAGGGTATCTTAAGTATTTTCTAGATATAGAAGTTGTGACTTCTATGCGAGGGATCTATTTCACAGCGCTAGTATTGAAAGAAGTGACTGTAAAATTCCTAATTATAGTTTCAAAAGTTTCTCTTTTCTTTTCTAATAACTACATTGCCACAATACAATGTAGAAACAGAAAATAAACCTCCTACAATCTAGGATTTAGTTCCTACTGCCAAAAACTTTATTCAAAATGGAATTCAAACTTCTATATGAATTCTAATACAAATTGGGAATTCTAATCAAGTAGATGTCCTAGTCCAAGTAGAATTCCTTATCCAAATAGGACTCCTAAAACAATTTAGGACTTCTAAATAAATATTAATAAAGATCTGAAATAAAACTGATAAACAAATATGGGAAGACTTACTTAACCTTTGCCTAGGGTTGCCCCCTTAGGACTTAATGCACCCCACACCTGATTACCTAACCAATGGCGCACTCTAATCCTTTGGTCTTGTTGAATCCTTTGAGCTAGGAAGCACCTCTGGAATACTGTATCACAAAATTATGGGGCTGAGAGCATGGGCTACTATAAATAGGTTTTCTTTAGACCCTTTTAAAACTTTGCCATCTCGAAGTGCCTACAGGTGGGGCATTCCACCCGAGAGAGAGAGAGAGAGAGAGAGAGAGAGAGAGAGAGAGGACTAAGAAAACAGGTGAAGAGGATGACGAGAGGAACCCTCTTATGTGGGCCTTAATGGCCCTAGGGTGTTACTAACTCAATTAAGATTCAGTTTGACGAAAAGCTTTCCTGATAATATTTGCAGTGAGAGAAACAAATAAGAGCCATCCATCCCTAAAATTATGATTTAGGAAGGAATTTAGGAACTTTATCCCTTGAATCTTTGACTAGTCAATCTAGGATAAGACCAGTTGAATCTCATCTTCTATTTTGACTACAATTTCTTTTATCTCACAAAGGCATTGTATAAATTCAAAGCCAAAGAGTCTTGGTTAATTTTCAAAGTTATAATAATATTTTCCAAAACATGAAATATTCTTTACTTTTGCAAAATATTCTCATAAAATATTCAAGGATTTTTCCAAGATTTTCCAATTATAAAATATTTTCTAAATCAAAAAGGATTCCCAGATGGATCTCCCAACTTACTAGGAGATCTGTGGAGTGTCCCACTAAGTGGGGCTTGAGGCCTTGTGGGCCCACGTCCCAAACCCATGTGAGTCCCTCACGTGTGGGAGTTGGGTTGTTGGCACCCCCATGTGGGTCCCACATCCATTTGAGCCCCTCACGTGCAGGAGTTGGGGCCTTGTCACCCCCATGTGGATCCCACACTGCACAAAAACCCTCTCATTTTTATAGAAATAAGACGACAAAGAACTAAAAAATATAAAAAATTATAGGAACATCAATGAAGTTGAAAATAATATTTTTGAGTTCTTAAAAGTTCTAAAATACTTAGAAATACCTCTGGAAGTGGATTAGTACCAATACGTCAAGAAAAGTGACTATTAGGACACTCCACCTGTGTTAGAAATTGAGATCCACAACTATCTTCTCAAACCAATGCAACGGGAACCATGACCAACAACTATGCGCATGGGTCATGATTGGTCCGTCAAAGCTGGCTAACAAGTAGTGGAACCATATTCCCAGCATGTGGATTCCAAGTTCCCCCTCTTAGAGCAAGTCACATGCACATATCAGTATATAGGATAAAGGGAACTCTCTCTAAGCACATGTACATGTATCCCTCTATAGGGTTTCTTCCGAGAATGCAACTGTCATATGTACATGTTGTGTGGAAGTTTGTTAAGGATGTGGCCCTCTCTTGTACAAGCCTACAGCCGCACACAAAAGGTCATGAAGCTCTTTTGACCTACAAACCATCCCTAGGCATATCTCCAACTTCAACAAAGGATGATCCTCCAGAAAGCCCTCAATGGTAGTGCCTATGCTAAGGGAAAAAGGGTTTTGGACATGATCCAAGCTACAGACCGGCCAACCCTAAGTCAGTCAACCAACCAACATACACTCCTATTGAAATGCACAATTCATTGTTTTTACATGCTCTCACGGGCTTTAAAGGTCGCATATGCCAACAAGCATACCCTTGATCTTTTATGCGAAACAGGAAAAACAATAGTTAATCTACTGTTTTAAAACCTGGTCTGGGTGGCCGAATCGGTCACTGGCTTGACGTATTTTGATTGTCCCAATATTACCTATGCAATTAGCTGTGAGAGGCATTTTATTTACGTGTTATAATCGTCACATTTAGAATGAGATACACATATTTTGAGGAGCCATTTTATGCACGTGTTTAATCTTCACATTTACAATGAGATACACATATTTTGAGATATCTCAAAAGTAGCCCCGGTAAGGGACTTTTATTTAGCAGTGGTTCTTCACTTGATCTACGCAGCTGCATGTTGGTTGCCGAATGGTTTGCCAATCGACTACTGGGTATTGCACCATGGTGGGGACGAATTTGGTTCCTCCAAGAAGCAAAAGGTAGAGTGGAGTCGTGTGGTCCAATATAGAAACAAAATATAAAAAAAAAATATAAACCCTATTTGAAATTTTATGGGTATGACGTTCCTAAGTGATATGGGAGTGCATATCACATTTCCTATATTAATGCACTCCTTCAGCCAAGCTGCTATCTCCATCTGCACTAGTGCTGTCTCCCATGAAAGGACAAAACACATTGATGTTGACTATCATTTGATCAGGGAATGTGGCAGCCAAAATCGTATCCACTTCATGTGCCAGGGCTGAAATCAACTAGGAGATAATTTTTACCGAGTCAATCGGTCAAGACCGTCTTCATCCTGGAAATGCATGACATACATGCACCAAGAGTAGTGTAAAGAATGTGTATGCTTTATATTTGTTCTATGTAGTTATGTGAAACTTTAGTATTCTTTAGGACTGATTAGTCTTTTTGTAGTTTTTATAGGACAATGTTTTTCTTTGTAACTTATCTTGTGTATAAGTACTCATGATATGAGCCTAGGGTTCATTTTTTATCCCCCAATGTGCTCCCCCCCCCCCCCC